AATGAGGTAATTGAATGTAAGTAAGCTCTGTGAACAATGAGATGCAGTGTCTGGTCAGCTGGGATTTTATGTTGATACTGATGTCACTGGGATAGCAGAAAAAGAAAACTGTAATTTCTGTATAGTTTGTTTAAAGGACAAAGCAAAATAAATTCTTATTCTTAAAGATAGAAATAAAGCTCCACAGAAAACTTATCTCTCTGGGATGATTTGTTTAAAATAATTAGGCTTTTCTGAGAGATAAAAATTGTAGAGAATTAGACAGAAAAGTAACTTGAGGACAGATTATCAAAGGCCCTGTGTGCTATGAGGAGTTTAGATTATTTATTTATATATTTGGCTGTGTATTTTATAGAATATTGAAATGAAAAAATACAAAACAAAAGTTGGCATCAGAAGATATGTTAGAAAGTAGTTTCTGAGTTGGAAAGGGGAAATTTATAGGTCATGGAGCCTAGTTAGCTGTTAAAGTTGAACCTTGAACAGATTATGAGCTCACTACAGCCAAATCAAATAGGAAAAAAGAAAAAGGACAGTCACATGACCTGCACTGTTCATGAGGACGAAGCATCAGTTCTCATGACTAGCAAATTTTTTACTGGCTCTGAAATGACTGAATTTTCTTGGATAGAGCTTTATAATAAACTAGTAGCCCTGCGCATGAATTCATGCCACCCTCTAGTAGCTCTCTGCCAGTTGCTCTGCTCTCCTGTAGCCCCCAGTGTGACAACAAGAAATGTCTCTAGACATCACCAAATATCATCTGGAGGGTGAGGTGGCCCCCTATTGAGAAGCACTGCCTCACCTGAGTTGATCTGAGCCTCACTCCTATTACCCTCTTCTCTCATATCCCACAAATGTCCCTCCCCGTTGTTTTATTCCAGCCACACTGGCCTTCTAGCTCTTTTTGGCTAGACTAGGCTCCCCCTTGGTTTCTTTTCAATGACCCTCGCCTTTACCTAGAATATCTTTCCTGGGACTCCTCCATGGCGCACCCCCCACCTCTGTCAGGTGTTTGCCCCATTACCATCTTCTCAGCATGCCCTCCACAACCCTCACCACTTCTCTTCCCCGCCTCTACTTTACTTTGCCCCATAGCACTATCACCCAATTTACTGCCTTATTATTTGTTCATTTTGTGTGTGGTCAGTCACTCCCAGTGGAATAGACTTGACATGGGAGTCTTATCCACATTTGTATCTCCAGCTCCTAGAGCAGTGCCTGGTGTATAGTTAAGTGCTCACTTTGTTGAGTGGGTGAATAAGTGAATGCAGGGAGGACTAACATTCTTTTCACCTAGAACTTTTCAAAGTAAGTTTTTTAACCATGGCCTGAAAACATTTCATTAATGTACAAATGGAATGTTTGACTTCAAGCTCTTGAGGAAAATTGAGATTCTGCATTGGGTTTTAAAATTAATCTCTGAGAGTTACTTTTCATTTTATTTGAGATAGACTTTTACATACAATAATTTTGCAAGGAAGTACTGTTCTGTAATTTTGCTAAGCTACTAATTTGAAGTAAGTTTGTTTTGTCTCATGTGCTGGTTAAGTTAATCAGACTTAGATCAGCCATGCCATTATCATCAATGTGTTAAATATCTCCAGGTTGGTAGAACAGTTTATAACTTTCAGTGATCAAATAGTTCTCTACAACAAATATGTTAAAGACATACTTTCCTAATGTATATTCATAGCTTTTTATAAGTCATCAGTCTAGGATCTATACAAAGAAGCCTTTTAATACTTACAGGAAAGCTCCTTATTGTTAGAAAATAGAGTAGGAAGAAGTTTAACTTTATGAATGACATGATGAAAAATACACAAAGTTTTAACTAAAATTTTATGGTCAAGGGCCTATAAACTTTTTTCTCATCTTTCTCATTCGATTAAAAGTTTAAGAATTAATTCAGCCTACAGCAGTTTTTTCAACAGTCTCAAATTCTTTCCAAGGTTCCTGATTAAAACAAAGTAAAACAAAATGTATGGTTTTTGTTTTAGCTTTAAATTAAATCAAATCAAAACAAATCAAAGATATTTGATTTGTGGCTTTTAATAATTTACTTTCATAAGCAATATAGTTTACATGGAATTCACCAGATAAATTATATGCAAAATGTAACCCCCAAATAACCAAATAAATTTATCTGCAATATGGAAGATCTGACTACAAACCAAGTAGATTTTATAGGACAGCTGTCAAAACTAATGACTCATAGTAATTGATTAAGATGCTGAGACCCACTTTGGAATTGCATGCATTGGGCATGCCCATGTTTACATATCAAAGGTGGTCACAAATCTCCAGATATACAAAGAGTTCCAGAAATGTCCCCTACAAATAGCAATGGTATTCTCTGTAATACATGTGCACAAGGACAAGCTATTTCTTGGAAGACAATTCTAGAAAAGCAGTTTCCTATTTAAAAGTTGGCCTTTCTAATAGTCCTTGATGTAGCTTCTCTCAGCTTTCCACCACAAAGTTCATGCAAATGCATACAAAAGGAAAACACTCAGGATTTCATGAAAAATAAGATAGGAAGCCAACTATTGCTGGAATGCAGAGAGAATCTCCACTGGCCACAAAGAGGTGAGAGGTGACAAAAATAGGAGACAGAACATTTGGCTCTAACATAAGAAGAAACAGCTATTGCTTTTATTCCAATTGCTCAGATTTCTAAGATATAATTGAAGACGATAGTCTTAAACTAAAGGAGACTTAACTATGCAGATTGCAAGTATTTGGCATATTCCTTTAACTAAAACACATTCAATTAACAAAAGAAACACACCTATATAAAATCCGCAGTTTGGGGTGAGCTAAATGTCACATTTGACTGACCTCTTGGTTGGCTGCTCAGGTCAATGGTCCATCCACTCCTGGTTTAGTCAGGGTGACAAGGACCATCCTCTTATGGGATAAAATGTGGTCTCACCGTGCAGGGCACAGTTTTTCTTGGAAAAGGAACCTTTGGGGACAGGACAAGTTAGGAGGGAGGCTTTAGCAGTACAGCTACAATAGAATGAGGAAATCATAAAGTGATTTTGCATAATGACCTCTGAGGGTTTTCCTTCCAGGAGTGCAGCTTTGAGTCACTACATGGAAATGTAAACATTCAACTCCCATATATGTAGGTTAAAGAGAAAAAAGATAATTTTTAAATTATGAAGCTATCTAAAAGTCATCTGATTTTTAAAATATAAGCTAAAATAGCATTTGATAAAATTTAATAATCATTCCAGCATTCTACTTAGTGGTAAATTCTACAAACCTCACTTTGAAATCAGAATTATTTTGGAAGAGCCACCAATGTAACCATGAGGACTGGAGAAGGGAAAGGGATTTGATCATTATTTGCAACTGGTATGCACTTTGGGGTGGGAGTGGAGTTATTTTATTTAGAAAACATAATTCCACTAATACTCACTGATCTATAATGAGAGCTCAGGGTGATATCTGGTAACATAACTCTAGTATTTTCCATGTCATTAATAACCACTATCTAGTATGATGGGTACTACAAAGAAGGGATGAAAAAATATCTCATTAACAAGAGTCACAAAGAAGTCTAAACATATAGCAATAGATTTATTAAGAAATGGACAAAAACTCTAAAACTTGATTGAGAGACAAAAAATTATGAAAGGATGGACAAGGTTGCTTTCTCTTTCAGGAGGAAGGAAAGCATCTGTGTGCTTGGTGGGAAGTACTGGGTATAGATCCTGGGTGACCAAACCTAGACAAAAGGCCAGAGTCTCCAAGGTTAAGGGCAGGATGCTGGGGACCTGGAGACAGAGGGTGGGCCCAGGAGGGGCTGTGGGCAGGAGGCTGTGGAACAGAGATTTGAACACCTGCTTGATGTGTGGGGCATGGAAGAGCTGGAAAGGTGTTTTTGTCTGTTTTATTTTGATTTTTTTCAGCAGCAAGGTTTGCTTATGCAGCTCTCCTGTGCTTTTTTCCCTCCCCTCTTCATGAAAATCTGCAGTAATCTGCATTGCTCATACAGGCTTTGGAACCAGAGTTACATTTCTTGTAGACTTGCACCCGCTTGAGGGTGGAAAGAAGAAAAGAGAAGGAAGGCTCTATTTTATTTGGATTTTACCCCTGTCTCAGAAATGAACCTTCTCATTGGATTCAGTCCTCTGGGTCTGAGTTACAGTCTTTTACTAAGAGAATGTGAATATCATAAACCCAAAGGGCAACAGGTGACTTCAATTGCAGTCCTTGTATTTTCCCTTGCACTCAGGTCATCTGCATAGCTATAGATTGAAGCTATTATAATTTACAGGTTGATTCAATAAATTCCATGCTCTGGAAGGTGGTCTGAGGAGGACATTTGATGATGTTTTGTCACAAGAGCTGTATGCTGCAGGATTTTTTACTTGCTTGGCATGACATCTAATTTAAGGACTGTAGTACAATATATCTGCTCTAGCAAAATTGCTATTTTCATGTCAAGTCAACAAAACTGAATTTCTCCCCCTTAAAATAAAGTTATCCTTTCCATTTCTATTTTAGGAAGATTGAAAATGATAGAAATAATTACGAGTAAAGAATCATAAAAAGAAATGTTTGAAATTAAACTATAGCGAAACATATAATTAAAAAAAAACCCACAAAACACATTTTTATTGATTTCAAAGGAAGGGAGAGGGAGAAAGAAACATCAATGATGAGAGAGAATCATTGATTGGCTACCTCATACATGTCTTCAACTGGGGATCAAGCCCACAACATGAGCATGTGCCTTGACCCAGTATTGAACTGTGACCTCCTGGTTCATAGGTCAACACTCAACCATTGAGCAACACCAGCCGGGTAATATACCATCCCTTTTAAAGCTATGATTTTAATCAGATCATGATATAAGTGATATGAGTGAAAATACTCAGTGTTGGTATGATTATAAAAAGAAATGATGCTTTTCAACTTTGAATTTCACAGCCAAAGCCTACACTTTAGAGGACTCCAATAACATACACTGTATATTTGTGTTTTAGGCGACTTTTTCCTGTGACTGCGATGAGCAATATGTGGGGGCTTTCTGTGAAGAATTTGATGCCTGCCAGAGGACACCCTGCCAGAACAATGCGAGCTGTGTTGATGCAAAGGAAAATCAATTTGGGAGCAATTTCACCTGTGTCTGCCTTGCTGGTATGGTTTCCGGAACTCACCATTAATATATATCACTCTGTAGAACATACACTTATTAATTAATAGTGGTTAAACAATACTTTGTCCAGCTGTTGGACAAGGGGACTTCAAGGTCCCATTTGATTCTATCAGTCTGTGCTTTGTACAATCTAGGAACAGGAGAAGGAAGCTCCCATGGGGATAAACATCCTGCCTCTTGGCTGGCTTTCTGACATTTCCATGGTAGCGTTCTACCACTTTTGGGCTAAGGATATTCTTGATCAACTAGAGGCCTAGATGTTTCAAAAACAATTCTTCAAAATAGGCACTGAGTGTGGGTTGGTATTGTGCTGGTTGATTATGCTAAATAATAAGAAAAATACAGTATCAGCTACCCAGGTTGTTATGTAAAGCCACCTTTTATGTTAATTTCCTTTTGTTCATATATAGTCATTAGACCAAATTCTTGGTACACTTTTCTCCACAATGAGGCAAGGAATTCCTTAATTAGTTTAGTACAAGGGTTTCATGGATACTACATGAGATTTTCAAATCCTTGGAGCACAATGAGTGATTCTTAGGAGACTTCTGTGCTCTGCCAATCATCTTAACTGACTTTCAGTTTAGCCAATAGATTCTACACCTTCAGGGAGCAGGAATGGCATTTACCAGTGAACATGTTGATTTAGCTGTTTTGTTTTTAAAAGCAAGCACCAAATTATTCCTTTTTTATTATCAAGTAACATGACATCATCCTTCAAAACTGACATCTTTCCTCTTTTATCTCATTCTGTTGCCAACTTCTGCTACTGGGTGGGGATTCAGGCTGAGGTAGGGGTTGGGGGTAAAGAGAAGGGTAGAGTGAAATGGGCCTTGGGAGACTAAATGCTCATTGTAAGCAACAAGACCTACCAATGGAGAAGTTTATAAATGAAAAAGTGAAAGCCTTTTACTTATCTATTAACACAAACTTTATCATCTCACTAGAGGCCCAGTGCACGAGATTCATGCATGGGGATGTGTGTCCCTCAGCCCAGCCTGCACCATCTCCAATCTGAGACCCCTTGAGGGATGTCTGACTGCCCATTTAGGCCCAATCACGGTAGGATTGAGACTAAAAGGGCAGTCAGACATCCCTTTCACAATCTAGGACTGCTGGCTCCCAACTACTCGCCTGCCTGCCTTCCTGCCTTCCTGATTGCCACTAACTGCTTCTGCCTGATAGCTTGATAACCCCCTAACCACTCCTCTGACAGCCTGATTCATGCCTAACTGCTCCCCTGCCAGCCTATTTGCCTCTAACTGGGAATTTTGTAACTTGGCCAAGAATATTAGTCAGGACAATACTGAATTGTGCTGTATTAACACACCAATCCCCACATCTCAGTGGCTTCTAAGAAAAGGTTAATTTCTGCTGTGTTGTAGTCTGATGAAGGCACTTGCCTCCAGGTGGTCACTCAGGGATCTGGAGGGTCTCCTGTGATGTTCTGAGAGCAGTGCCTAGAGATATCTTTTATCACTTCCACCACATGTCATTAGCCAGAATTGGGTCACTTATTCCCTAGAACAGGGTTTCCCAAAGTGTGGTATGTGTACCCCCAGGAGTACGGGAAGAGTTTGGTGGGGGTACGCATTGCACCGGAGTTTGGTGGGGATATGCACTGCACCGTGCTTAGCTGCGCCTAATTCTATTTTCTCATGAGTACGAGGGGTACTCAGCGTTACGAAAATTATAGAAGGGGTACACATATGTCAAAAGTTTGGGAAACATTGCCCTAGAGTGTTGCCTAGGAAGAAGTTAAACATTCTCATGGTCTCACCAATAACTGCTAGGACTGGGATTTGAACTCAGGTCTTCCTGCCCTCCTCCAAGACCCTTGTTTTCAACCATCTTATTACACTCTAAGTATGCAGCCACACTAAGTGCTGAGTCCTTTCATGGTACAACTATGCGATTCAAACCCATGCCTTTCAACTTCCTTATCTCAAACAGGTCTCTTCTTAAAAGAAAAAGTACTGGTATTAGGCAATTTTGTCCAAAAAGGGAACGGGTTGCTCATAGTGAGGAGTTTTATACTACAATAAATTTAGTTCTGAGTGTCCTTGAAAAACTTATTTTCCATAGGAAAGGTATATGTACTTTGTGTAAGAACCATGTACAGTTAATTAACATCAACACATTGATCTTTGATGCTCCAGATATATATATAAGCTCTATAAGCAGTGGGAAATGTGTTTTCCTTTTGAAAAATGTATCTTGCTGTGTTCTGATTGTTGACATTTGATCATGAGGAATTACCTTGTTTGATGAATGAATGAATTCAAATCAGAGAACAAAAGTCCCCAATAAAGTCTTTTCACAGAGACGTAGCCTTGACTCAGCGACCGTTTCTCTTGAGAGGAAAACATTTCTTGGCGAGTGAAAATATTATTTTCAGCCAAGAAGTTTCAGCTCCAAATTTGCTAATATTTTGGTATTTTGCTCTAATTTCTACATCAAATGCCAGTACAGATAGCAGTTTTTAAGTCATGGTTAATCTGTGAATGAATATGGAGCATTGGATGTGGAGTTGGTTAAGTAACAAACTGTTATAGTTTTCATTTTTAATACAATTTATTGGAAAGCAGAAAATAGTAAAATACTGATCAATAGTAAAACATTGACTAATGCCATATACATGCAATAGAAAATTAATAACAGAATATGGCCAGTAAAATTTCTATTTTGAGGAGGAAGTTTTTAGCAGGTGTAATTGATTTTTTAAAAACTTTTTTGGAATACTTTCAAAAAGAAGGGGATTGTCAACAGCATCACTACTGTAGGAAAATCTAAGAGGAGGTTATTGGCTTTGCCAACAGGAGGTTATTGGTTTTGTCTAAGCCTTGGCAGCCTCCTGTTTGCAGGGATGTTATAAAGGTTACAGGAGTTCTGAGGTCTCTCTAAGACTACATAGAGGAACAAAGCAAGGGAAGGTAACTAGAATTTATCAAACTCTCTGAAGGGCAGCAGCATATTTGGCGATAGTTGCTGCCATTCGGTTTCCATTGACCTCAGAGCTTTCTCAAGTGACACCGGTTGGCAGGGGTGAGGTATAGAGGATATGGGCATGATGTGAGAATGAATGAACAGCAGCTACAGACTGTTGTAAAGACAAGATTAGTGGCAACATTAATGTGAAGAACAAAATCAGAAAGGTCTCTTTGATTTTTTTTTTTTAAATTATAGCTTACTGTTTAAGAGGACAGGCTCTAGAGCCAGATGCCCAGATGACAATCATAAATCCCACACAATTGGACCTTAAATGTGGGTTATTTCCCATCACCACAGGATGAGCTTCCGGGAGACCCTCCCTGCTTGTTGCCTGAGGTTACAAGAGCACTAAGCGCCAGAGGTAGGAGACCCAGTATCACCTGCCCTGGAGCTCTGACCCTTGCATGTCCCACTGACAACAGCCTCTGGAGCCAGCAGTGTAAATCCTGCTTCCATCCCTGCCATTTCTAGCTGGGCTCCATAGGCAAGTTACCTAACCTCTCTGGGCCTGCTTCTTCCTCTCTGCAAGGAGATTACAACAACCCTTGCCATGAATATTAAATGAGAATGAGTATTAAATACCTCGTTATGAGTATTAATTGAGAACGTAAGCTTGTGGTCTGTTCTGTGGACATGTATTTCCAGTACCTAGCCAGGCACATAGAGCTGCTCAATAAAGATTTCCCTAATGAGTGAATGACTAGAATAAAATGAAATTCTATACAAGGCATGCTGTGTAGAGGCTCAATTTCCTTGCCTCTCCTCCCTCTCTCTCTGCCTACTCTCTCTGGGCTCCTCCCTATGGTGCACATGTTTTTTTTGCCTCCCACCCACACCAGGTATGGCTATCCTGAGGGCAGCAACATCATATTGCATTACTCTTCATCCCTCCACTCCCTGCCAGTGCCGAGCCCCGTGCCTTGCATGCAACAGACACACAATGAATGATTAACTTGAATGTTAGCTTTTTAAATCAGGATTTATTTTCAGAAAAGCCTTCTCATTTGAAGAATATGGTTTTTCCTCAAAGGAGCTATTTCTTTTTCTGCAAAGGATAGCTATGATGCAGGTTCAGAATCACCATTGCCAAAATGTTATCAGCACCATGCAAAGCATTTTTCAACTTCGGAGCACCTCATTGTTCAGCTAATTGGTGATTTCAGCCTATTTTTAAGACCTTGTTATTTTGGACGCAAGGGGAACGAGTGTGTGTTCCTGCCCGGCTTTACTTGTTTAATTAAACACTGAGTGTTGCTCAGATGGCCTTGCGGGGCCTTTGTGTCGTGAGTTAGAAAGGGGTCGCCTCTCCCTGGAGATACATCCTGAGCAGATTTGCAGGGTGTACTCATACCCAGGCTCACTTGGCTCAGGAAGGGAGCACCTTAGTGGGTCTTGAGTGTGGTTTTTAAAAAGCAGATTAGGTCAGAGTTTCAGAATGGAAGGAGTCTTGGGACTTGCCTTTGTATGGGAGTGTGGGAAGCAAGGCTGAGGGACTTGCCCAAGGTCACAGAGCTCACAGAGAAATGGGAATTCTGGTCACTTCCTTCTCTGCCCATCTTTGGGTCAGAGTGTGTTTTACCAACATATTCAAGGTTTGTGAATTTCCTGTGAGTGATGAAGGGAGCAGGAGGCTTGGACATCATTGGCTGTGAATGTGTTGGTTACAATGTGTTCACCACTGTTTGGGCAGGGAACAAAGGAAAATGTGTAACACTGTGTTGTGGCATGTGCCAGAAATTTGTTCCTTTTTATGCCTGAATAATATTCCATTGTATGGATACACCAAATTCATTAACTCATACATCCATTGATGGGCATTTGGATTGTTTCCACCTGCTGGCAGTTGTGAATAATGCTGCTGTGAACTCCACCCTCCATATGCTCTCCCTTCTCTTCTCCTCCGCTTCCAACCTTTTCAGTCTTCTTCTCCCTGCTGTCTCCATCACCCTCCCCAACCCTTCCCTGGCCTCCTGGCCGCAGGATTCAAGGC